TCGCCGCTGTCAGCCGATGGAATGCTGGGCTGCTGCTCTTACGCCTCCCGCCCTCGCCCCGAGGGAGCAACAGGCCTAGGTAGAAGACGAGACGTAGGGGGAGGCCGGGAAGTACGAGGAGACGGTTCCGGTTAACAAGACAGGTGTGAGCGCGACGTACCCAGCAGCCAGAGTACAGGAGGGATGTGAAGGCGAGCAGGAGGTAGCTCTACAGATGCCAGGAGCACCTCCAGAATGCGAGGGGCAGAAGGGGAGACATCCATCCCCAAGGGGCTCTCTTGAGCATGGTGCAGGTGGGACGCCGTGTAGTGCCGGGGCACGACTGCTGGTCCACAGTGTTCCCAGGACTCAGCGGTCTAATACCACCCTGCTGTTCACTGTCTGACGGCTGGGTGCACAGAGTGGAGGGTGCTAGTGAGCAGCCCAGGCTGCGGGGAGGGAACCACTTGGAATCCAAAGGCAGGTGGAGTTAAGGGCGACTTGGACAGGCCTGGAGAAGTGCCCGTAGCATTGTAGGCTTGGAAGAGACCTCAGCAGGTCTTGCAAACACCCCAGCTCTGGGGCCGGTTCTCGGGACAAGCCATCTGCTGCGCAGGGCTGGAGAACGTGGCGCTGCTGGACCTCAGGCAGCCTGTGGCTGGCGTGCGCCTGGCCGCAGAAGGGGCTTATCCTACCTGCTGTGCGATGGATGTTCTTGGTGTTCTTCATAGGAGCATTGCGTCTGTGTGACTGCTGTGGGGCCTTGTGGCAGGTACTCCAGCAGGATAACTGGGCTTGGCACACAGCTAGAGCCCTGTTTAGCAGCTTGTTTCGTTTGTGTGTCCCCTGGCCCTGGCAGTATGGAGGACAGACGGCATTGTCTGCTCTGCCCACTCAGAACCATTTATTGTTCTAATTAAGATCTGTCACGGGCCTCTTCTTTGTCAGTTGGCTAAACCACATAGTCCTGTGCTGAAAATAAACCAGCCGAGAGCCGCATGTTTCTTGGGACAGAGCATGAATCCAGCAGACCAGGCCTTGGGTCACTTCATGGCACTGTCCTGGGAGAGCCAGCTGGGGAAGGGCAGACTCTTCATAGTCCCGAGTGTGGCCTTGGGGCAGAAGCATGTTGCATTGTACAGGCTGTGGGAGCATGACGAGGGTCCTGTACGAAGAGAGATTAACAAGACTGGGACTTTTCAGCTTGGAAAAGAGGAGACTACGGAGGGATAGGACAAAGTGAGTAAGGAAAAGTGATTTACTTGCTCCCACAATATAAGAACTAGGGGTCACCATATGAAATTAGTAGGCAGCAGGTTTAAAACAAAGAAAAGGAAGTTTTTCTTCACTCAGCACACAGTCGACTTGTAGAACTCCTTGCTAGGGGAGGTTGTGAAGACTAGGACTTTAACAGGGTTCAGAAAAGAGCTAGATAGATTCCTGGAGGCTGGGTCCACAATGGCTACTAACCAGGATGGGTGGGGATAGTGTCCCTAGGGGTAATGGGAGGGATCACATGAGGATTACCTGTTGTGTTCCCTCCCTTGGGGGTACCTGGCATTGGCCACTATGGGCAGCCAGGACACCGGGCTGCATGGACCGTTGGTCTGACCCCGTCTGGCCGTTCGTATGTTCTTAACGTTCCATGCCCAGGCCAGGAAGCCGTGAGCTAAAAGGGCTGAGCCAGGCTGCACTAAAACTGTTGCTGGCAGGGCAGCCTTGTCTGCGTGACTGTTTCCAGAACACTTGTCGGGTAGCCATGGCCACAGCATGACTTTTGCTGTGTTGGCTTAGAAGTGCTTCTGCCAGTTGCTGGCCAGGGACACCAGTACCCGCTGTACCAGCAACACGCTGCATCTACACTCGCAGGGTTTGCAGGCGTAATGATAGGCATGTAGCCCTGCTGGGAACCCTTTTTAGTGTGCACCGGGGTCCTGGAACAAATTCCCATACTGGCTTTTTTGGGGGGCATGAGCACAGGCATGGGCCTTCCGTTACAGACCACTAGTTATTAGCCCGGGGGTGTGAAATACCTTCTGTGCACTGCCCCGTTGCACAGAGTAGTGTTAGCTGAGCAGAAGCCTGTGGTCAGCTGTATGCGCTTGCTGGGCCAGTAGCAAGCTGCTCTAAACCAGCGTTGTGCATCACCTGAGCGCAGTGTCTTCACTTCGGCAAGAATCACATCCCTGTCCTCTGTCGCTTGATGCCTTCCTGTGTCTTGGGCCTGGTGTAGGACAAAGGGGACTGCGACTCTACCTTTGTGTCCCATGTGAATGAGCACAAACCCCTGGACGCTGC